AAAATATGTGTTTTATGCAAATGTGGAGTATGGGGGTGTTACATGTGTTCAGGTTTTTTATTATAAGTTATTTCAAGTTTAATAACAAAGTAATTTATTTTTGGTTTAATTCTATAATTTTTTATAAATATAACAATTAAATATTCTATTAGAACTCAATATTTATTCTAATCATATTTTAGATTTTTTATATTTGAAATGAGATGTTTATCTTGTATTTGATTATGTTTATATGCAGTTAGTTATATGAAACTTTAATAAGTTATTCTTATGCACATATTTGTAATCTTAAATTTTAAGTAATATGCATCAATAAACAATATTTTATACATAAAAAATAGTTTTTAAAAGTTTTTATCAAATATTTTATAATATAATATAGATATTACTTCGTCTTCAAAAATTAAATGCAACATTAATTTTGGTCTTTTTCAAAGTTGACAGACATGTTTGTTTCTTATAAATCATTATAGGATATTGATGAGATGTGCTTTTGATTCGATTCAACTTTGAGAAATTTGATATCTACAAAAATAATAGGTTTTGATTGTAGACTCAAGACCTGACTTCATCTCTTCAGTTCAGTGTATTTAAACTAATATTAAACCAAAATAGTCTTAGGTCCGTAATTTTAAATTTTTCTTTGCGGACCTGAATGAGAAATGAAATTTTTTTTGCAGACGTGGGTGAAAAATGTAATTTTTTTTTGCAGACAGGAGTAGAAAGTGTAAATTCTTTTTGTCTTTTAGCTGAGTCCGCAATTGTGGACATGGGTGTTGCGGACCTATGACTATTTCGGTAAACTTGAAGAGAAAATGGTTAGGAGGCAAAACCAATCATGAAAAATGATTATTTGGTAAATTTCCCTGAACAGAAATCAAAGATTACCCAACAAGAATGAGTGTCACTTTACAGTTTCTCCATTGCATTAAACAACGAAGAAAGTGTTAGTTTTATTTATCTTAAATTAATTTGTAACGGTTTACACTGTTTTTAGTGTCTTATCTAATCAATGTAGCTACTTCCATGTTGTAGGACTACTATCTGTAGATTTTGAAGATGACGTTGACTCGTCTTCTGACACTCTTAGGTAACATCATTGATTTGAAGCAAAATGATTTAACAAAAAATTTTAACTCTGTTAGGATGAAGGACGAAAAACGAAATGAAATGCAAATCACAGGGACAAAAATCGTTATAAACACCAAGAACCGTGGGAACGGAAATCTCGTAGTTTACTCTAATTCTTTTGTCAGGTGGTAGTGTTGCAACTATGGTGCCGTGGTGGTAACCCTCAGGTTCTGATGGTCGCAATGGCAGGGTCTCAAATTTGGTCATGTTAACAATTTTATCTGATATTGTCTTAGTCGAAGCAAAAGCATGACAAATAATTAATCATGAGTTCGTGTCCAATCCAATCATGTATTGTCCTCTCTCATTTAGTATGCACACTGAACGCTAACCAAATAAAGTATACGGTTTTGATATTTGAAATAAAATGACATTTGATTGGTCGGTTGGTTGGATGGATGGCAACTATTTATGCCTACTAAATAAAAGGATGTATATTTTTTTGTTTGGATCAATCCAAATATTCGTAGTTATAAAGTAAATCAGTCGTTAATATTTTATTATACTAATTACTAAACATATTTTTAAAATCAACATTTTGTGTCTATACTTAAAATTACCAGTTATGCAATTAAAAGTTGATACTAAAATGTACGTTTTTTTTAATACGATAGATGCCCAAATCCTTAATTTTATAAACATATTTCCAAAAACAATACCTAAAAGGAAGATGTACAAAAGGTGGTGTGTAAAACCCGAATTGTCTGAAATCTGAATTCAAATCCGAACCGAAAATAAGGTATTTATGTAAAACCTGAATGTCTCGAAATCCGAAAACCGATTTTTTAGATAGAAAGTTTGGGTTTGGGTTGAGTTTGATTTTTGGCTACCCGATCCGTCTGAAAACCCGAAATATATGCACATACTATATAAATATACTTATTTAATTATCTTTTGAAATTTCTAAAAATCTTAGTCGGTCGTGCTCTTTTCTAATTTCTAAGCATATTATTGATTTATCAATCTTCTAAACCGATTGAATTTATAGTCAAAATCGATTGAATATATATATATATATATATATATATATTTTTTTTTTTTTTTGCATTATAACTAAACCCAAACGACCTCAACCCGAAATCCGATCAACTCAAACTAGAAGCAATTTGAAACCCAAGAATCGAAGCTTGATTTCTATATCCGAAATCAGATCAGGTATTTTGTTTTTCTCATACGAACCCTCCCGTCAGTCCGATGCACACCCCTATTTGATTTGAAGACGTAAAATAAGTCATATAAGCCAACATAAGGTTATAAAACTTTTAACAGAAACGAAACAATGAAATAGTGCAGTAATACCAATTAGATATCTACAGGAGGCCAAATACTGTTTATAACCGATATAGATATAGCATGTTGAAAAAAAAAAGGTATATTCCTAAAGCATTTGATATATTAGAGTGAATGCAACACTCCAAAAGTTGGGGCAATTTGTAATAAAATAAAATAAAGTTAATTAAAAGGTTTAAATATAAACATTTTTAGTTTTTAAAATACGGAAAGTGGAGAAAATGGAAATGAGGTCATCAACCATTTGCTAAGCCAATAAATAATTTGGAGTATAATAATCGTTGGAAAATTTTGAAATTAACTTTGTCACTTTAATTTATTCTATAGACAAATGTAGCAAAGCAAGAAGTAGAGGGTTGGTTTCGTCAATATGCCAAACTTAATGAAAGAAAATCAATTGGTTTTTGGTAACAATCACTTCCATAATCATTATCATTAGCATTTAAAGGGAAAGTTTAGCCGTTAATTAATTAATTAGTAGTGACACGTCGGTATGAAAGGTTAAAAAAATACATAGAGAGGAGGAAAGAGAAGAGACGAAATGGTGTGGAGAAACGAGTAAGAAATCGACTATCGAACGGGTAGGCTTTCTTCGAACGAGAAATGCATTTCTTAACCAAATTCGGTGTTCTATATATGGTTGGATTCAATGTTCTTTCGAATGGTATAAGTTTTGAGGCCAATGATAGTCGTGCGTCGCGTATTTCGAGAAAAACGCGGTTGTAACGGCGGCTCTCGATGACGGAGTAAGAAAACTCGAGTTATGAGTTATTTATTTGATTTTAAGGGCTGCGAATTTATGTTGAATAACTAGTATCGTAATTTTATGCAAACAAATGGTGAAAAACGATGTTAATTTGGTTGGATAAACTTTAGTCTCGAAAACGCTTAAAATCGCCTAAGCCTCAAATTCGGAGACTATAATCCATGAAAATTTATGATTTTTGTTTCTAGGGTTGAAGAACATTTTGATGGTGTTATTTTGTAAAGAAAAAGAAAATCATTAAAATCGGTAAAAAAAAAATGAGAGAAACGAATGAAAAACGTGAAAAAGGGACGAATTCATATTTTTCGACAAACGGAGTCCGGTGACACCTTATGCTCCGCTCCGGGACGAGCTATGGACTATGTTTTTGGGCTCCATGATGGGCTTTAATTATATTAATTGGGTTTTTATTAATTAGGGATTTAGTTATTAATTAGGTTATAATTAATTAATTTAATGTCTAATTAATTGATATATTAATCTAAAATTTTCATTTGGTTAATATATTAATTTATTTTAGATATCTAAATATATTAATTGATTATTTCCTAGAGAGGGGATTATTAAATGAGTTAATAATCATTTTTAGTGACCTCTTTTGGGATATTCGAATTATTTGAAACATTTTTAGATGAGACGATAAGGTTGTCTAATTATAAAGATTAATTAGTAGTTATGAGAATTATAGAGTTCGGAAGGTTGACCAAGGTTGACTTTCAATTGACTTTTGAGAGGTAAAACCATTAATTAAATATTATGGCATTGAATCAATACAAACGTTAGAAGGATGAAAGATAAGAGGGATTCGAATCAATACAAGGCTATAAAAGCATAACAGTGGGTTCCTTGTAACACGCTTGAATTGAATCAACGAACAAAAAATGCTTATTGATTCGAGAAGAAATAAAAGTTTGAGGTAATAATGAAAATATCGAAGGTAATCTCCATGGTTATGGTTAGATAAGAACTAAACATGTAAAAGAGTCTAAGAGGCCCTTGATTCACTCCTCTTGATTCCAATCTCTCTACGTAAAAAAGAACTGCCTTTTAGCTACCCAAATAGATTTAACGGGAAAACCATTTATATTTGATCTTGGTTGGCCTTTCACCCGTAGCCATAAGTCATCTGCATATTTTGCCACATATGTGGGTTTGGCATGAAAACTAAGATTGATATGAACCTGACGGGCATAACGAGTCTAGATCAAATAAATGACATGACGTGCATTTAAGCAAGTCTTAGGGGTCGTTTACCAAACACTTACTCGATAAGTGCTTACCGGTAAAAACTAACACTATTATTTACTTACCGGGTAAGATTTTAGTCCACCAAAACGACATCATATGCAACAATTTATTCGGTAAGCGCTTACTGTGGTAAGAGCCGTCGCCCTCACTTACCGGGTAAAACGCATGGTCCTTGTCTCACTCTTACCGGATAAGATTCTTAATCCTTACTATATTCATCCGGTGAGGTAACATGACCTGGTAGGCGTTTACCCAGATAAATGATTGGTAAACGGCTCCTTCGACCAATAAGATATGAATAGCATAAAAGACATTCTTGTTAGATATGCACAAAACCCCGTTATCGGAGACCAACCTAGAAGAAGTAATCTTTAGAATTGTTGTTAGACATTTTTTTCATAAGTAAATAATTGTTTTACATGTAAACACTTTAGAATTGTTGTTAGTTTAAGGTCTAATTTGCAAAAATCTTAAAAGTGAAGGTACCAATTTAGACATTTATGTAAAATCCCATGGCCTTTCCAGCAAATTTACCTATAAAGCTGATAGGGCTACACGCCTACGTAAGAGCTAGTGGAGCTGAAAACGATACCGTTTCCACCATCTTCTCGAAGTATCCGGATACCGGAGGAAAATGGCCGGAATAGTTGAGTTGTTGCCCAAAGAATTCGGATTCGTCGTTCTCACCATCATTGCCTACTGTTTTCTCAACGTCTTTATGCAGATTCAAGTCGGTAGAGCTCGGAAGAAGTAATCCTTCTCACATCCTTTATGTGATTTTTATTCTTTTGAATTTTGCCAAGTGAATTATACATGTAAAATTGGATCAAATTCTGTGTTGTTATGTTCGATTTTGCTCTAAATCTCGATTTTACATGTTGAAGGTACAATGTGCCATACCCTATTTTGTATGCTACTGAAGCTGATAGCAAAGATTACAAAATCTACAACTGTATTCAGGTTTGTTGAGATTGTTCATCAATTTTATTGGAATGTAACGGATCCAATTTTTGTTTCGGTTTTTTAAGTAACTTTTAGAAATTTGTTTGTTGCAGAGAGGGCATCAGAATTCGCTAGAGGTTTTGCCGATTTTCTTTATACTGATGGTTTTGGGAGGGCTTAGGCACCCAATTACATGTTCGGTGCTCGGAGTAGTGTATATAGTCAGCCGGTTCTTCTATTTCACCGGATATGCCTCCGGTGATCCCAAGGGACGTCTTCCTCTAGGGTAAGTGAACTTTTTACTTGATTGAACCCTGAATTAGTATCGGATGGTATACTGTACTGGATATCGTAATCAACAAATTAATAGTCGGATATTAGTATAGATTTAGTTTACTAAAACCTACCGGTACTGAGACTACATGCTTGAGTCATTGCGATTTCTAGTTATTTTAAGCTCAATGTTGTCTGTTTCTGAACATCTCCGATGGGGAACACCAAGTCCGTAAAAATTGGTGTAAAATATGCGACAAACCATAAATCTTCTCCAGTGGGTAACCGTGTCTTCCTTTTTATCTTCTTCAATTGGTGTAAAGTTTGGTGCAAGTGAATAGCATTGGAGTGATATAGTGTCAAATTTGGTACTTCGGTGTAAGATTTGGTGCCCTCAATGGAGATGGTCTTTGTGAAAATGGATCTAGGCGCTTGAAAGATAAGATTATCCACTTATCATACACTTGAAAATTTAGTTTTTCTTAGAAGATTGATCAACTCTTTAGAATTTCAGTTGTAAGCAAATATAAAGTTAGATTCAAACCACAATGAGGTGCCTGATTGGTTTGAGCTTGGCTCCAAAGGTCAAAAGTACCAGAAGGTCCCAGGTTCAAATCAAATCCAGTAAGGAATAAAAATCCCCTTTGGCCACGGAGGTTCAAATGCGGTGACTCCGGGCTATCTGCAAAGCAGGTGGTGGCCGTGGGATTAGTCGGTTCGCATAATGGGTTGAATATCCAGGTTAATCAAAAAAAATGTTAGATTCAAGATTTTGATTCCCTTTCTCCATATTCTTTGAATTACCACGTGAAACTTTCATTAACACAACAAACCCATGGACGATGGATGGAGAATGGGACTGATGTTCTATTCTTTCTGTCGTTAAGATAGAATAGAAAATAGATCCTAGTTTCCATCTCTGTTGAAATGTGCAACTTTTTTCTCAATGCATTTATTGATAGGCTTCTATCATCAAACGATTTTGTTTTCGTACTTGAGAGGTTTAGGTTTTTTATTTTCAAGTGTATAATTTTTAACAGCAAATTGTACTCGGACACATTTGGGTTACTAGGCCCAAGGCCCCCTTTTTTTTTGGGGGGGGGGGGGGGGGGAAGTTAGTTTCCCGAAACTTTTTTAGCACACTAGGGGTCTTCCATAACACACTCACTCTGCTTTTTGTGTTAGTTGACAGGCCGTCTTACCTTCCACCCCCTGACCCTACTTCGGACTAGGACATACCGGGTGTGTTTAGTTTGGTTTGGTTTCCAGGATGCTAGTTTCCAAACATTTTTTCATACGCCAGGGGTCTTCACTAACACACATACTTTGCTGTTTGTGGTAGAAGGTAGGTCTGCATACATCCCACCCGATCCTACTTTCGTTAGGACATAGTGTGTAAGTTGGTTTGGTTTGGTTTGGTTTCCAGGATGCTAATACCCCATTTTAAGGACCAACGAGGTCAGTTGGTGGGTTTATTATCCTGCATATTTGACTCATAGACCTTTAGGATTGTTGTATAAATTTTGCCTATGAATCAACTTCTCAAATGATTATGCTTTGCTATTTTTTGCTTTAATTATATGGTTCCATTGTGCAGGAAATATAATGTTATCGCGATATTGGGGCTTATGTTTATCAATATCTGGTTCGGAGTGAGTCTTCTCATGGCATAATCCACGACTTAAAATACTTGTCGTTTGTCTCTTGTTTGTTTCGATTGGAGCAAGAAAGCGGTTCGATCTGAGAAAATATGTTTTTGTAATCGTTGTAACTTGGAATTGTAGTTTGAACTACTTTCTACAAAGTGTAGTTGCTGCTGCTATCAACACATGTTTAGTAGTTCATTCTACAATCTATGTGACCAATATTTGCATTCGGGACTTGTCTATCCTCTATATGTATGGTTTTCATCAGTTTGGACCAAGCCCGTTCGACCATTTCTTTTGAGTTGGACCGGATATAGATCAGTTTCTTTTTTACGTTTTTAAATCCGTTATTTTTTAAAATGGATCGTACCAAAAATCTAGATCAAACAGATAGACGTCAGAGATCAAAGATCTGGTTCATTCTTTACCTACATTATGGCTAGTCTAAGCCTTTTTCAGGGCTTGTTGATCATACTTGACGTCCGATTATCAAACACTTACGGAGTAAGTGCATATCGGGTTACTTACCTTGTTGGATGATATGACAAGAATTGAGAATCTCACTTGATAAGAGCGATGATAAGGATCGAGTCTTACTTGCATGCTAAAAATTTTATACTCCTTGTACCAAAAAAAGGAATCAGCACGAAATATAATGCATTTATATTTTTATTTTTAACCTTTTACATAATTTTCTTTTCAGTCTTTATAATTTGTTATTTGTAAACCTTTTCATATTTTCTATCATACTCCTTGTTTTTTTTATTTTCAGTTTTTTATCCTAACCATATTAATTAATTATTTTTAATACTATAAACCTAATTACATTTTTAAGGTTAAAAAAATTGGAAACAACTTTTATGAATTTTCTTTTATAATATGATAATGTAATTAAATGTAAAATTATTCAATATTGGACTCATTTTAAAGGTATTAATGAGGCGATTATAATTATATAATTTGTTAAAAGAAATATGTTTTTTAACATATTTTAGTTAATCTATATTATATTAACATTTGACAAAAACTCTTAAAAATCATTTTTTATACATGAAATACTGTTTATTGATGCATATTACTTAAAAATCAAGATTACAAGTAAATGTTGCGTAAGTATAACTTATTAAAGTTTCACGTTTGAATTTATGTAACTAACTGCAGATAAATATAATCAAATAGAGAATAAACATCTTATTTTAAAATAAAAAATTTAAAATATGATTAGGATAATCATTGAGTTCTAACAAAATACTTAATTGTTATTTTTATAAAAGATTATATTATTAAACCAAAAAAAATGAATTAAAGAAAAAGAAATTTTAAAGTCATTTTTTTATTAACCTGGATATTCAACCCGCTATGCGAGCCGATTAATCCAAGACGACCACCTGCTTTGCAGATAGCCCGGAGTCACCACATTTGAACCTCTGTGACCACAAAGGGATTTTTATTACTCATTGGATTTGAACCTGAGACCTTCTGGTACTTTTGATTTTTGGAGCCAAGTTAAAACCAATTAGACATCACCCTTGTGGTTAAGTCATTTTGGTAATATAAATATTTTTTTTCAATTTTTTATAACATCGACCGAGAAAAAAAAAAAACATTAAAATCGAGATGTATCTCGCTGCATTGTGTGAGTATACTTCTACTAGTTAATATATGATAAAAATGTAAAGTAAAAAATGAAAAATAAGAGTTAAAGTAGGCTAAATAAGTAAGTATAAGGGTGTAATTGTAATTTTAATTGAAGGAACACAAAAAAAAAAAAACTTTATGATTGCATAACTTTGATATGGAGAAATATTAATAGAAACATGGGAATAATCTAAAAACAAAAACATATACTTTACCAAGTTTTATCAATTAAGTATTTCAAAATTAGTAGTTAGAAATAAAAGCATAGCAGGAATTTTGGACAAAAATATATACTTTAGATAAACTAAAAATGTACTCATGCAGCGGGATACATTTGAATTACCGATAACTCGAACTCTAAGTCATGATTCATGTTTTGTTCAGTTATATGTCCCTTTTGATTTTCTTGTGGTTTTGTAAGAGCGAGAGTCTTCGGTTGGTTATCGGTTTATGGAGTATTTATTGTATTAGCATGGGTTAGGACTCAATGTTTATCATGTATTTGAATCGATTGTGTTTATCAATTACATATATCGAATTCAAACGTGAAGTTTTAAAATTAAAGTTTTTTGTATGCAGTAGTAAGTTGTAAACGTTTTATAATAGAGTATATATATCAATACCGGTACACTCTGTTATTAATATACTTGTAATCAAATTTTTGAAAACCAGTTAAAGATTTAAATATATGTACAAAAATAAAATACTCTTTGATATATTTTTTGCAATTAATCTTTTTAACTATATTCAAGTAATTTATAATTGTTACTAACTTGAGTACTAGTAATTGGACATTAAAGGTTAAACGGGAGTCTTGAGGTGGTACTTAGCTACATAATGGGCAGACACTAAGGGGTCGTTTATCAAATGCTTATTCGGGTAAACGTTTACCAAGTCATATTTTTTTACCGTGAATATGGTAATGACCAAAAATCTTATTTGATAAGAGCAAAGACACGGACCAAAAGTCTTACCGGGTAAGTGATGACGACGGCTCTTACCACAGTTAGCACTTACTGGATAAATTGTTACATACGATGTCGTTTTGGTAGACAAAATCTACCCGATAAGTAAGGGGATAGAGTTGAATTTTACCGTTAAGCACTTACCGGGTAAGCGTTTAGGTAAACAGCCCCTAAGATTCATAAACCTTGAGGCAGACGTAGGAGTATATGTCAAAGGTATCTGAGAACTTTAGAATGACATATCATTTTTTATATCCCATAACCATAATTCTTCAAGTACCCTCTTTCACATGACAACCGATCAAAATAAGTACAATATAAAAAAAACTTAAAACTCCTTTTCATCAATTGAGAAAAAAATTTATTTGTTAGACTAAATAAAAAACTAATTTAAGGAGTCGTTTACCGAACTCTTACCCAACAATCACTTACCGATGAGAGTCAACGCTTTCATTAACTTATCGGTTAAGATTTATCTAGTTACCAGGTAAGACCGTTACCACTCGGGTAACTTTTATCTTCCTACCATAGAGAGTAACACTTCCATAAACAAAATGGATGTTGCAAGAAACTATGAAAACACCAAGAGTGTGTGATTGTAAGTTACAATGATTTTTTTCTATTATTTAATTAGATAGACGCACAAAAAGATTACATTAAACTGAAAAAGTACACAAGGTGGCATAAAAAAAGCTCTTGCAATTCAAAATCACAAGAAGAGAACAAAACAAGGAAGGAAATGCCATCATCATCTCCCCCTTCCCTTAACCCGCCTCAAAGAAAAGCAGATATACAAAAAAAAAAAACATATAATGGCTAAAACGCCCTTTGACATCTCAATATCATTGCCATAACTCGCAAGTCTTCTATAAAACCAAAAACCTAAATCCAAAATTAAATCACATCCAGATAAGCTTCCTCAAATATATATCTACCCTGGTACAAATTAAAAAATGTGCATAACAAAACAGCCAGCTTATATGTTAAAAATATAAACCTGTTAGTAGTGTCAAACGCATACCTAAGCCCACACTTTTCTCTTGAACGGGGTGACCCAAATCCTCTTCCGATCCAAAAACGAATCAATCTTCATAGATTCACTCCTTTCCCTCTCCATCGCACTTGGCTCTACAAATTTCTTTGTAGTTAACCTTGTTGATCTTCTTGTGCTGTACACTTTCTGAACAGTAGTCTCCTTTTTAACAGTGTCTTGATTTCATGTTGTAGTCCCTTTCCTTCGACTATATATTGCAACTGCTACAGTATATTTGGGATGCACTTCGTCTTATGTTCCACCAAACAGTTGTTTTTTTGCGATTTCTTCACACTCATTCAGTTGACTCCCCACATTGCAACAAGAAGTAGTCGGGGCCTTCTTTCTGGTGCTGGAGACTATCAGTGTTTTCAATTCATTAACCTCGCCAATTGCCTCCTTACTCCACGACCAGTCGTCCTGCTTGTTGTTGCTGGCACAGTTTCTGCTTTTGTTTTCTTCACCTTTTGCCGGCAATTCAATTGATGATCCATCACTTTCAGATCGTGAAGGTTTCAAGATCTCTTCAATCCCTTCAACCTGGTGATGTATGACACAAACAATTCTAAAATCAATACAAAAAAATATGTGTACATTGATGCTAATATATGTTTTGTTCATCAACCAACACGGGTGCTAATCTAATAGCACAACGACGTTTTTTTTTGCAACAGACCAATAGAAACAAAACGCAACCAAACAGATAAAATTCGAGTATATCTTTTTTTCAAAGTGAACACAATGAGAAGCATAGACCAATCAAATTAAATTGAGAAACTTATCATCACAGAAGATTTGATGGCATCGGCTATTCTATATTAATATCTTTTTGCTAAGACAACAACCTTTTTCTCGCTACAAAACCGTCCATCAAAACCTGGACACGTGCACCTTATATCGCAAATGATTTCCAAACCATACATATCCTTAGTTTAAGACAAGGTTGTTTGATCACCTGATAAAAATTCTCATTGCTCCATTAACCATAACCATATTTTTATAAAATAACCCGTCGTTTGAAAAGGTCAAAATTATTTTAATAGACTCGATCCAATGTTGTTTTAGTAGACTAATTCTTAACGGTAAGCTAAGGGGCCGCTTACCAAACACTTACTCGGATAAGTGAACAAGTTAAATTACTTTACCAGATGAATATGATAAGGACCATGAATCTTACCCGGTAAGAGCGAGACAAAGACCAAGACTCTTACCCGGTAAGTGAAAGCGATGACTCTTACCACGGTAAGTATATACCGAGTAAATTGTTGCATACGATACATTTTTGATTGACTGAAATCTTACCAAGTAAGTAAATGATAGTGTTAAAATTTACCTAGTAAACGCTTACCGAGTAAGTGTTTGGTAAACGGCCCCTAAGTGAAAATATTGATTACTGCTAAGGGCTTATCAGGTAAGCATTGGGTAAAAATGGTGCTAAAACTTTAATGCTATCTATAAAAGTAGAACCTCAAATGATAAAATGGTAGAACAAACAAKTAGTTATCAAGTACCGGAGTTTCTTTGGYTTATGTGAAGGAGAATTACCCACTTGTACCTGCATCAAAGCAATACACATGTTACTTTGTCTTTTATAGGAAGAACACAAATTAACACTAATAAGAATGATACAAAGGAAACATGTTAAATAAGTCTACTTGTTTGCAAATGCCAGACTCATAATGACCAAATGTTAAAATTTCCAATAATAAAATCAATCAAGGAATAATGAATCTCAATGAAATAATATACYCTCTCAGGTAGTGGAGTTGCGCTTCCTTTCTCTTCAGCTCCATTATTTCATCAGMACTTCCCCCCTACATGGCAACATCTTTATCACAGGATGGTTCAGGTTCCAAATCAACCTAGCACCTCAACCTCAAAGATGGCAGTTGGCCTCATTGGTATTGCCGAATTAGGGGCCGATAAGTAAATAATAGTGCTAAAATTTACCAAATGCTTACTCGGTTAAGCGTTTACCAAGACACATTATCTAACTGAATGAATATGGTAAGGACCAAGAATCTTACCCGGTCAGAGCGAGACAAGAACCAAGAGTCTTACCCGGTAAGTGAGAACGATGACTCTTACCACGGTAAACGATCACCAGATAAATTGTTGCATGCGATATCGTTTTGGTGGACTAAAATCTTACCCGATAAGTATATAATAGTGCTAAAATTTACTAGTAAGCACTTACCGGGTAAATATTTGGTAAACGGCCCCTTAGTTCCTTTTGCTATAGCTTCATCATCGCCCCTTCCCCTTCCACCACCAGCTTTCCTTCTAGTTCTGTTTTTGAGTTGGTGTAGCAACGTCCCCTTGATCAACAGGTTAAGTGGCAGAATGAAGATCACCAAGCAGTTTTGATCTTTGTGCTCCAATTCGTAGTTGTGGCATTGTCATCCATGCAATTACATCCAACTCATACCCCAAGTGTTCAGCTCAAGCCTCCAATTAGCTATACAAATATAACAAAAATATGCAAAAATAGAAACAAATTGTAACCCCCTATTAAGAAAAGATTATCATGCAAAAACAGAAACAATATAGCTAGGGAAAATAACATCATCTAAATCCACAAGCACTACCAATAAAGACCAAAAAATTGCAAAAATGAGACTGAAAAGATGCATAATTAAGAAGCAATATATGTCCAAATTATATATTATTCTTAACAAAAACGCTTGAAGATAATTATGAAGACTC